TGAGGTTGGCATAGTGGTCCATTTTGTTGATTCTGGTGCAATCCATTCAAACGTTCAAAATTTACACTTTAAATTTGCACGTACAATTCATATCACTGCGACCTGTCGGGTCGCAATCAGCGGTTCCCACCTGCGGCCTTCCCACCAGTGGCTGATTCCTTCCTACATCGATCATTGCTCGATCACCATTGGTAGAGCAAGGCAGCCGGACGCGAGCTCGTGCCGCGCTGCGCTCGCCGCCCCCGACAAATTGCAATGTTACAAACTATATAGTTGATACTGTTGCAGACCAGTGGGGCAGTGTCAGGAAACGTGTGTTTCATTTAGAAAACAACCGGTGGTAGAAAACGCCGTAGGTGGGCTCATCCCACGCCTTTTGACATCGCCCCGCAGGATAGCAGCGATATCGAACCGTATTACCAAGACAGGGCTCAATTCATCGCAAAAAAAACAAGTTAGGCGCTATGGAGCTTGGACAAAGCCATCTTCAGCGAAGCTAAGCCATGTCCGTCTGCTCGTCAGCGCCCTCTCACCGGAACAGCATGACATGTCCTTAAGCGGCTTATCATTGTACTCGAATATTAGTTCTTCCATTTTTTAACAACGTCAATTTTGATGCATGGCGGTTTCGAGAACTCTATTCTACTTTTATTCACTGTACGTTAACATGATAACAAATATTACACGTAAATTGTCTACCTCAAATAATTTATTAGTACTAGTAATTTAGTAATACTATAGGTATTTTGCGAATTCATAATAAAACGTTATGATTAGAGCACCACCAGTCGAACGGAATGAGTTTGTCAGTGCACCGCGGTAGAAGCCTCGATACCCTTTGCTCCTGTAAAAAAATACTGTAACTGTTCAAGTGAATTGAGATGCCTCCCTACATCTTTGGGCCAATAACACTTCAGCGTCAAATCAGTTAGGCCATGGCAAGATAGGAACTGTACCGGTCATTTGAAGGCAGTTGGCACGATAATTTAATACTCTGCCGGAAATGCTAGCAGGGCGCTATCTAGTGGAAAATGGCGAAAAACGAAGTGAAACGGTCGAAAACTGCGAAGAAAAGCCTTCGTTCTTGAAAAGCAATTTCGGACGAGTTTCCCGTAGGCATATTGCAAATAACCGCTACGGTAGGTACGGCTGCATGTATGTACTCATATATCCATGCAGCACCGCAGCCGCTTCATACCAATCCCTTCGCTTCATATTTTACTTAGCAAATGAAGCAATACGAGCATCAGGTACGGTCGTCCATTTGTGGGCGGGCGGGCGTGGTGGGCGTTCGGTCGGTATGTTGTAGCTTGATAGGACCCTTATAAGGGTACCTTCCTGGAAAAAATCGCTGTGCAGCGCCTGCTCAGGGTCGCGGAAATCCGCCCTGCCAGGCGTATCAATCCTACTCGTCTTTAGAGGATTTATCGTGCCAGCTGCCTTTAACGGCTCCATACAGGACGTTAATTGCTGCAGTGATCTGACTGCTTCTACGCCAAAGTGCTACACTCAAAATCCCTAAGATACGGTAGGCATGGCTGCGTACTTTAATTGAACGGGGCGGCCGCCGAGGCTTTCGTGAAATATTTTCACAAAGTGACAGTTGTCTCAAACTGGAATATCCCACGAGTAGACCACCCTGTGCCATGTTCAAATGCCACCCCCTCAGGGATAAGGAGTGCATGTTGAGTCGGGCTAGGAGCGCTTAATTATGCGCAAAGCTGCGAATGTCTGAACCACACCTCGTCGTTGCCAGTGACGATGCAACTATATTTTCCGGACAAGCGTTTTGTATTGGCTTCTAGAGCAATGAGGTGAGCAGCTAACCTTGCGATGTGCATCCAACAACTCCAAGAGCTGCTGAACATCTTCTGACGTTTCCCTGCTTGCATCATCATCTGCCGCCTAACCGTATCCAGCGGATAGCACAGTAGACCAGAGCTAATCAGGCAAACCTAGAACACAGAAACTTAGTAACTCAATTCAGTTGAGTTCACTGAGACACGGTCTCAGTCATTCAACAAAATCTAGGTTGATGTTCATAGAAAATTCTATACAAAGTAGTAGGTGGGTGACGAAGGAGGGCTTTGTATTGGTTGCTAGAGTCATAAGCTTGAAAGACAGTCCAGGCCTGCTCACACTACTAAGTCACGCCGCTGATCAAATTTTGACATGCTCTACCTTAATTAGTCACAATTAGCACCTTTAAGTGCCAGACAGGATACTAATTGCAAGAGCCGTCTCACTCTGGTTGATAAAACCCCGTCATGCCAGAACAGTGTGATCACCATTATTCAGTCAGGCAGAAACCCAGAAGACTCGAGTAGTTTGACTCCTGCACCAGGGTACAGCATCGTTGTGTAAACACGTGGGATACTTTCCCGGAAGGGGGGGGGGTCGTGAGAGGCCGTGGCCTTGAGAGGAATTTGGCGAATAATTGTGAGGAATAATTTTTCCCGTATGCTGACGTAATTTTCCCTGTTTCATGTGTACTATAACCCTACCCTCCCACCTCCTCCCCTACGCTCGACGGAAAATTCTTGGATGAAAAACTGGAAAATATGAGAAATTTGTAGGTAGGTGTTGGGGAAGGGGGGGGAGTCGTACTGACACCACCATTTCACACATCACGGTGCTGTACCCCGTCCTGAAGACCAGTACCGATTGAAGTAGTGGCAGAAGAACGCTTGGCGCCGACATCTATAACGCGGTCTCTCGAGCGTTTTCGCACCGCACA